AGCAGTACTCCAATATTTGAGGGGCTGCCATAGAGAGGAAGGGGTCAAGCTATTTTCCAAAGCACCGGGAGGCCAGACAAGGAATAATGGATGGAAACTGACCAAGGAGAGATTCAACCTGGAAATAAGGAGACATTTTCTGACTGAGAACAATCAACCAATGGAACAGAAGTTGCCTTTGGAGGTTGTGGGAGCTTCATCACTGGAGGCTTTCAAGAAGAGATTGGACTGCCATTTGTCAGAAGTGGTGTAGGGTCTCCTGCTTGAGCAGGGGGTTGGACTAGATGGCCTACAAGGTCCCTTCCAACTCTGTTAATCTGTTATTTCACAGCAGACAATAAAAGTATGTATTCATATATGCAATCAGAGTTAGAACTGATAATGCTAAATATCTCTGCCTTGCTACAAAGAAAAAGAAATCAGAACATTGGTTACACCCATTTTACCTTGGGCGAATCAATGATTTTAAGATCCTTTAAAAAATGGTGGGGAGAATTCTCTTAACTGAACCATATTATACATGGGAATAGTTTTTTTAAAAAAAATTAGACAGTTAAGCATGAATACAAAAATACCAACTTAAGCCATCTTTTATTCCCTCAGACAATACATGTTTATTAATTGACCTTCGGGATAAATGTGCTCCCCATAGAAGGACTCAGGGATTTATTAAGGCATCTTTTAGCTGATTTGCCAGAAGGGACACCTTTAAACTGCAAAATGTTAGCAATCAACTGAACACGACAAGTAAAGAGGCAAAAAAAGAATGCTTCTTTTACTTTTTCTCTGGGTTATATTCCTGAAAAGAATGCTCAATGGCATCTTTGGCAGCAAAAGTTCAGCTCTTGTATTCAAATAGTTTATTAGATTCTACAGATTAACTTTCCCCAGGTCAGTGTTCTTCAGATGAGCAACTCAACAGATTGAGAAGCTACTGTTGAAGACATCTGAACAGGCTGGGGAAAACTGTCACTTATCATCCCAGAAACAAGAGAGAAAGTCAAGGCAGAAGTAAAACATGCAGTGCAGCTGAAACAAGAAATCCTACCTTAGGAAGAGGAGAGAAGAAAGGAGAGGGAAAGAAGACATGGAAAAGGAGAGGAAGGAATGGAGGGGAAGTAAGAGTAGGAGAGAGGGTAGGAAAGGGAAGAAGAGGGGAGGAGTGAGGGAATGGAAGGAGAAAAAGAGAAGGGAAAGGAGAGGAGAAAAGAAGAAAGTAAAGAAGAAGAGAGGGAAGGAAGGAAGAAGTAGGGTAAAATAAGATGGGTGTAGAAAAGCAATCTCAATTGTATTTCTAACTTTAGGGGGAGAAAAATTGTTGTAAATGTTAAAATATAACACATATTATTAATAATAGTTATGAGATTGTATATTTGTGAATGTATGCATGAGAAATAAAAATAAAACTTTTTAAAAAACCCAAGCAGTCCTACCTTCCCAGTTGTCACTGCACAAGGTTGACAGGTCCAGATGTGGGATTTCTGGTATGAAAGTGTCTTCCTGGCCATCTATTTCTTGGTTCCTCTGCAACTTGACTTCAGGAACGCCGGGATGTTCCTGGATCTTCATATTTGAGCTCTGCAACACATCCCCCCAAAGCAAAGAGCAAAAAACATTTTGCAAAATTCAGTATAAAACGGGAAGTAGAGATGTAAATAAACACACACGCACAAAAACCAAAACAGCCCTTTTCTTTTCTATAGAGGCAAATTGAAAAATGGGAGCCTTTTAGTATCCAGTCTTTTCCCCCAATTACTCATTTCAATGCTCCTGGATCACTTACACAAGTTGAAAAATAAAATAAAAAACTTTTGCTCCCAAAAAACCTTCTTGACTAAAGAAACAGAGAAAGGAGCTGAGAAGTTGCTTCCCTCCAACTGAGTAAGCGATCAGTCGAGTTTATCCGTGAACGGCTTGAAAAGGCAAAGCAATGAGAACAAAGACTGCATTTCCCCTTAAAAGTTCTGAGTTCCCCCAAAAATGCATCACCTAAGAAGAAGCTGCGGTTGCTAAGGCTACAGTGCCACAAAAATCTCTCTTGGAAGTTGAGGACACTCCTTGTCTTCCTTCTTCCCTGGAGGAAGTGGAGTTTTCTTGCTGCAGACGGCAGCAGAGCGAAAGGCACGCAAAGGGCTCTTCTCTCCAGCAAGCTGTGCTGCGGTATAGCTCTCCGAATGCCAGCGGAGTTGCGCTGGCTCTGCTTGCAAGTCCTTGGCTTCCTGTGGTTGTTTTCTAGCTGGGCGTGGGGAAAGCACGCCTATTTATGGAGGACCTCTGGGATATTACAAGCCGCTGTTGCGCAAACTGAAATCATAGCGGGCTTTGGCGTTTAATAAACTGGAAGGGGTAGGGGCCTGCAGAGTAAGCCACAGACCAGGAATACTTCTCATTCCAACAAATCTTCATCACTCTCTCTCCTCAATCTAAAAACTGCTGAGGAGACGATCTATAATGTACGTTCGAAGAAAGAAACGAGAGCATGTTGCACTGTGCCCACTCACCAGATACCCGATATGTCCTGTGTGTCTGGACAGATTAAACTCTTGCCCTCTTGTTCCTGGTTTTGTACGCTTATCCCGTCTGACTTTATGTTTTGGGCATCAGAGCACGCGGTTTTCATTTGCAAAATGTAGAGAAATTTAACGCAAAGGGACTATCAGAGGAACGTGCCTGATCTATGCAAACATATAAGGTCTTTACTTATAACTCGGGGAGAAAACAGATAGGGAAGGAAAAACGGAAAGAGAGACTTAGAGATCCCCCCCCCCCAATACGATTAGAAAGGACAGAAATACTAGGGGAAGAGTTAAAAGCAAGTTAACAGACACTATTGTAAAAACACGAACGGCTCACAAAAGGTGCCAGCCGACTTTTAACTGTGATTTCTTTCTTTAGAACAGTCAGTATTTATCTGTGCATCTGAAACTCTGTGTAACTCCCTGGAGTTCTTCCCCCCGCATCTACAGTGGGAACTGTTAACATTAATCCGCTGTGGAATTTGCCAATATGCTGAATTAAAAGGATGGTGGGAAATAAAACTGCACTTTGCTCTGTTGATTGTAATGCAAATAATCAGCGCTGCTTTCAGATGGTTGCCTGGAAGTTCAAAAGCAAATGAAAACAAAACAAATCTTGAGTAGCACAATTCTATATATATATTGATTCAGCCGCTTTATGTCCCCTAGTCTATATATTTAGAAATGCAGCCTAAGTATACAATTTTGTCCAGCTATAGGGTTAGCGGTAAGGTTTTCAGGACGCTGAAATAAAAATCTAGATTTCATGTTAGACCCCTAAAACTACACACGTTTAAGAAGGTTGCCAGAGCACTCCAGCGCCAGGAAAGTGACATACAATCAAACCACAGATGTTCTAGAAATCTAAGGAATAATATAATTGTACTGCAGACTTCATTCTGTCAAACCAGCTCCAAGAAAAGAGATGAGAGAACAGATTCTACCCAGTATCCAAAATAGTCCCATTTTCTTTAGGGAAATCTCAAATTTCAAAGCCAACATCCTCACAAACAACACAGCATTTCTTCTGTCTACACTTGTTCTGATAGGTACACATTGCACCATTAACCATGATTTATTCAACGACCACAGTTGGCTGAATTCTTCCGATACAATAAACAAAACCTTAAGAACAAAGACTCCTGCTTGGTTAGATGAAGCCAATCACCCACCTGGTCCAACAGAAGTCCAGAAACATAAACAGGATGGCCTCTCTTTCCCTACTGCTGACTAGAAGCTTGTGTTTAAAGAATGTTGCCTATAACCTCAGATGGAGTATTCAGTTATCAATAATCAGCCCATTCAAACTGTTTGTTATCACCACCTCTGATAACATATAATTTTGAGTTTTGTAAAAGCCAGAAAAGCCACACTATCTTGTAGGATTCTCACCATAATTCAGTAAGCACCACCAAGGGGAAAGTCATCACCTCTAGAAAGAAAATAAAAGAACAGAAGAGGGAAGGCAATGTTTTTATTGTCCAACTTTCACCATTCACAGAATGTTACAGAGAAGAAGATGTTGTGTAAAAAAAACCCCTAAAAATGCAAGAGAAATCAACTTCTAGGACATTATTTGAAGGGACTAACAATCGAGTTTGCTAGAAGTAAAAGGAAGGAATATAAAATTGGTTTACTTGACCAAGATTAAAATACATATCTTAACCTTTAATGGACATTTTATGATCCAATGGTCCTTCTCATCATCTGCGTATTATCCAATTCTCATCCTCTACGTAGTGTCCCATTTCGGGCTCCTGGATTTCCCTATTTTCTTCTGCCTGCATCCAGCAAGTTTTGCTTGATGATCAGTTAACTTTGGTCCATTTTCTAACTTTATTTGATGCAATTGATGAATATATGTAGGATCCAAGGGGATTTGGCAGAGGAGATTGCACTGAAATTGGTGTCTGCTTTGATTGTTTCATGACTAAGTATAGTACTAATCTCCTGACAGGTTTTTCTGATTCTTCTCTCCATCCCCTGATCTTCGTGAGGAATAGTGTCGTCTGGATTGTCCTGGACTATCCACATCATTCTCATCTTTCAATACCATGGCAATCTCTTCACTAGTTCCCTTTTGAGCCAAAACCCAATTTAAACTATTCTTGCTTGTGCTAAGTGACAAACTCCCCAGTATCTGTTTGCCACCATTTCTACCTACACTTCTGCCAATTCTTTATGTTCCTTTCCTTAGGACATTCTTGGTTCCTTATTCAAGAGTCATTGTCTCCAAATACCTGGCCATCTCTGCGATACTATATAAAGTAGGTTTAAAGACCTTATATTTAATTTAGTGGCTAGTGTAATCAGGGTGTTCCACTCTATCTGATAGATCCAGGATAACACTTTCTCTACATTATTATGGTTGTATATCGTATTTTTCGGACTATAAGATGCACTGGAGTATAAGACATACCAAAAAAATTAGTTTTTGGCCTCCACACATCTGATGTTTGCTCTCTCAAGTCTCAGGAGCACTCTGCGGGCCTCCCAAGCCTTTTGTGCACCCTGTTTTTTGCAACAATGGGCCCATTTTTGGCCTCCCAAACCCCCCAGGAGTGCCATTTTTGCTCTCCCCAGCCCCCTGGAGCACTCTGCAAGCCTTACAAACCCTCTGCGCGCCCCATTTTTCCTAAAAAGAAACACGCAGGTCGGGGTTTCGGGAGGCCAAAAATAGCCGTAATCGGTGTACAAGATGCGCCAACATTTCCACCCTCTTTTAGGAGGGGGGGGGGATTTGTCTTCTACTCTGAGAAGTACGGCATATTGTCAGTGCTATCCCAGGATGCTATTTTAAGTGTAGTGCTTTCATGCTGGACATTTTAATGTTAATTTTTCCTTTATTGGATTCTGAGTTAATTTTATTGGATTGATCTACAATTCATTATTATGCTATTGTTGGTCTACATTGTGCCTTGGTAAAGGGCCAAATAAATAAATAAATAAATAACAACATGACTGCTAGTTTGCTTAACAGGAGAAGGATGTTTCCTCTCAAGCTGAATCACTTGGCTTTTTAACTGTTATAAACCCATTCCATTGCACAACTTTTGATTTCCTTTTTTCTCAACTTAATAGCATTGTATGTACAGCATTTGCTGCTCTGTGAAATCAAGCATAAAAGTGATAAACATACTGCAACTTTTTAAAAAAAACATATATCAGTCATTCTTCTTGACTATCATACCTTTATCCAAATCATGTAAAGCTAAGCAGACACAGCAATTGAAAACAAAATTTCAGAGTCCACTACAACATGTCCTGTACCTTTCTAGCCCTACTCAGCTGTGAAGGAAGAACATGACAGCTAAAGGAACATTTGAAGAACAGGTTTTGTCATAGGGTATAAATGAACTTCCCTATCCTTTTCTCCTCAAGACACACTGTACCAGGCCATTAATCTCCACTATGCTGTCACGGCTGTAATTTAAAACTACCAAGGATCTTTCAAAGCCAGGCAATAAAATGAGATCAAGAGTGGTCTAGCTAACTCCTCCTACACCTAGACGTTAGGATCTGACATTAATAAAAACTTGGGAAGGATCAATTGAGAAGGTACATTCAAAACATTTTCTTCAATAAAAAGAATCAATTATTTCTAAGGCAACATCCAAAAGCTATAATGCCCACTCATCAACCTTATGAACATTGATAAATATTAAACCCAACTGGGATCTATCTCAGATTTATATAAAAAACCAGATTATTCCCTAGTAAACTTTGGTGCATTTTTGCCTCAGATGTCATTCAGCAAGGATTTTTGTTGTTGTTTAATAAAGGGTGATCCCTGTTTGTTTGTTTTTTAATCCTACAGGGTTGGTTACGGGGGATTATTTTTCATTCCTGCATCTTGCAATGCGATGAATAATCCATAAAGACTTTCTGAAGAGTCAAGATTTCTGCTTAGATTCAAGGAAGCTGCATTCCAAATATATACGGATGGTCCTCTGAACAAATGTATTTTTATTTTTTGCTTCTGATGCTGCTATTCAAGCATGCGGCATGCCTATCTGTGGTATCACCCTTCTCTATGCTTGTAAGAACAGAGAACAGAGAACAGAGAGGGACGCTTACAGGAAGAATCCTATTATAGCCAAGAATCTCCAGTGCGGAGAAATGATCTGGTGCTGCCAACAAATAAGAGACCCTTATCTGATTTTATATATATATATATATATA